TTTATATTATTCATGTGTATGCATTCATGTGTTTACTTTCATGCATCGAACTATATTTATGTGATAGTGATATCTACGGATCGTGATATTTATATGATATGTGGCATGTATGCCTCTACTTTGGAATTATTTATATGTCATATCACTTGTGTTATGCTCATTCTGTTTTGCTCTGCATTTCCCATCTGGATGCAAATGAGCTTTTATTACTTGTACTCATGCTTATTTCATATCTTTGAGTACATTATTATGTTGGCTTGGGCTCATAAGCTTGCCTTAACTCTTTTGTTCTTATTGTCAAAAGCTTATATGAACCAAGCATGTTAAAAAACTCATCTCTTTCACATACTGAGGTAGTATATTGTAATCAATCACCAAAAAAGGAGAGATTAAAAGCATCTAGGCCCCTAGTTGGGTTTCGTGATTAATGACAATACGAGATTACCGTGGATTAACGTGTGTTTTGTATATGCAATTGTTAGGTCATGGTAATGGCAATTGATTGGGCAATCATGGTTGTCATGCCCCTCACGATGGAAATCGCTTTTGGTTTTCAAAGGATGGATGACAAGGTTAAGGATGGACTAGTTCTAAGTGTCGCTTGGAGTTGAAGAGACACTTAGAGTAGTTTAGGACTTTGTTTTTCCTTTAGCCATACTATTAAGGGGGGTATGGACGGGTAGCTTGACCCAGGTGAGTCTAGTGGATTAGGTGTGGTGCACACTTGTCAAATCTAGCTAGGCGCCTCCTAAATAGCCCTTAGATCAATTGGAGCTAACTTCATTCACATATGATTGCGAGATGAAAGTGAATGGAGGGTCAAATGTCGACCGACACTGGTCTCCAATGTGACCGAACAAGGTGAAGCCGCTTCTAGTGCGACGGATTCTGAGAGGTGAGGCGACCTGGACGCTGGTGCCGCTCGATCGACTCAGCAGAAGGTTCTAGAGAGTTGGTTTTCATGACCTGGACGCTGTTCGACTGCTGTTGACCGGCGGCGCCAGTCTCGTCCACCACTTAACTCGCTTTCGCTTTCAGGGTGAATCGACCGAGCGTCCGGTCAAGTTGACTGGTTGCCGGCCGCCCTGTGAGAGGCACATATAACGGTTCGCTTTTGAATGAGGTGTTATAAATACATCCTCTATTCACTCAAGGGATCACTTTTGCTCATTCCAACAATTTGAGAAACACCCTTGAGAGTGCCAAGAAGAGCAAGGTACTAGTGATGTGATTGAGATTTGAGAATCCAAGAGAGAGACCTCATTAGTGAAAGCAAGAGTAGCAAGTGTGCATCCACCCTTCTCATTAGGGTTTGTCTTGGTCAAATGAGAATTTGTGCTTGTTACTCTTGGTGATCGCCATCACCTAGACGGCTTGGTGGTGATTGAGAGCTTGGTTATCATTCGGTATGGAGCTTGTGGATGACCGAACTCAAGTTGTGAGCGGTTGTGCGTGATTCACCGCGACGGAGTGTCAAAGAATCAACTCAGAGAGAGCACTTGATCCTTGGCGCAGATCAAGGGGGAGCTACACCCTTGTGTGTGCTCCAACGAGGACTAGTGGGGAGTGGCAATTCTCCAATACCTCGGCAAAACATCGCCATTCCTCCTTCTCTCTTTACTTTGAGTATTTACTTTGAGCAATTCAATTCTTGTCTCTTACATTCATAGAATTGTCATGCTAGAGTAGGATTGGAATTTAGGTTGCAAGACTTTTTATATGATAGAACATTAGAAACACTTTCTAGGCACAAAGGGTGAAGTGGGCTAACCAAGGGTTTAATTATTGCAAAGAAATTTAGAATTAGCCCAATTCAACTCCCTCTGGACATATTGATCCTTTCAATGGCGAAAAGAAAATCTAGCCAGCCCTAGTATGCAACGAGCCAACGACACAAGCCAGATGACTCTACTCCGACATACTGTACTGCTCTTTTCTTTTCTTAGAGCGAGGCTAATAATACAGCCGGCTGTATGAAAACTTATAGCCAATCTATCGCACCACTCAGATAATAGTTAGTCGCCATTACAGCCCACTTCTCTCGCCTCCACATAACTTCTTGGTTCTTGTGTATAAGCTGGTTGTAAGCTTACGCCCGTTCTCTTCTCTCTCCTCCCTCTCCCCTTCACATTAGCGTACAACCCACTTACAGCCTCTTATTATACTCTTATTAGACACGGTTTGGCCCAACGTCGTGTTCCTACTTCACCTGTTAAAATCTTATCTTATACTCCTTTGTCCCAATAGATGACGCTTTTGACATTTGGATATCATATTTGACCATATGTCTTATTCAGTTTTTTTTGCAAATAATAAGATAAATAAGTCATTATTAAAGTATCGATCTCTAATAATAAAATAAGTCATAACAAAATAAATAATATTTATATAAAAATTTTGAATAAGATGAACAATCAAATAAATTTCTAAAACTAAAAACGCCATGTATTTTAGGACGGTGGAGTATATTACAATATTATTGACCATGACATCATCGAAATTAACTACTACCCAAGCGATTTGTAAAAGGCGGTCAGAACGATTTGTAGTGATGGATGCGCTAACTATCATTGTGCAAGAGGCTCTAGAAATCAAACATTTCTATGGATGGTTTTAATCGTTCTTAGAAAATCGATTTTAAGAGGTGGACCAAAACATCTGCCATCTTTAGAAATAGTTTTCTAGAGGCAGTTGATGTTTTAGACAACCTCTGAAAATCGATATCAGAGGCAGTTTGAATTCTAGTGGTGGTTGATATTTTATTTTAGCCCTTCCAAGATTTTATATAAAATGTTTAAAAGTTTCCTACTAAATTTGAACTTTTAGTTTCCAACTAATTTTTATTGAAGCGAGGGCGCTGATGGCGGCTCCTGCTTGTCGTCCTACACAGGAGGGGCATCGAGGCTGATGCGGGCTCCACCGCCAAGATCGCCAAGAAGGGAAACTATATAAATTCTAACATACATATTTATTAGAATTTCTGCATATAAACTTAGAAGAACTAGCCCATATAAATTCTAACATACACGCTGAACAGCTCGGTGGTTGAGTCACTTTCGGTGGTGGTAGCTCACTCACTGCGCTCGAGCCCAGCTCGGCGTGGGTTTCGCACGTGATTTTCCCCCAGATTTTTTTCAGGACCTAGACAATTTGCGTGGCGCCATAATGTGTGGGGGGGGACTACGACGTGCCCATCGTCTACGAGGCTCGATGCAGCTTTGGCGATCTCCAGAAGGATGCTGGTGGTATATAGGTTGTAGATCTAGGGTGTGCGCGTGTGTTGTGAGGAGTTTAGATACTACAACTTGTATACTTAGGGGTTCAGGCTCAAAAAAATCTAACATACACGTGTTATAAATTTGTCCACAAGGAGTAAGACTTATGCAATAGCTAAATCTAAATCACATCAAAGGGAATGAAGGTGCGTTAGACCCATGGACATGGGCGGCGCCAGGGGTATGCCCCTGTATTCCATGGAACACCCATGATTTTTGTGACAAACACAAATATATGTATACATGTATAATGATATAGCATGTTAGTTTGTTGAATGTTGCAAATATGTAGCCCATAAGCCCAGTAGAACAACTAGTACCAAAGAGCCCATCGAACTCGAAAGACAGAAACACATCGACTGCATTACTCTGCCCCCGCTCTCCTGCTCCCTGTCTGTCCGCGCATTGATCGGAAGGGCGGCGGGCTGCACCGGGCGGCGGGCACGGCAGGTCGGCTCTCCCCCGCCTTCTTCAGCCCCTGGCCGGCCCCCTCGCCCATCGGCCCTCGGCAGCAATGGGGAACGCGCAGCGCTTTGCGCCCGGCACTCCTCTGGCGGCGGCGACAGTGGCGGTCAGTGGTCTTTGAGGCTCCCCTCGGCTCAAGGCCCAGGTGTCCGACCCTCCCCAAGGCACCTCTCTCATCAAGCGGCTTGAAGCAACAAATGACGAACACAAAAGACCCTTACATCCATTCTTGATTCTTCGTGAGTAAGAATTAAAGGTTTCGTTTTTTTGTTGTTGTTGTTGCATTGTGTTCTTTTTTTTTTTTTGAAAGAAATGTTGCATTCTTTTTCTTGTAACGTAGATAAAGAACTTATACTTTGATTATTACCAGGGTGACACTAGGTTCACTTTGCCTGTGCCTTGTTACTGTGGTAAAAAAATTACCTAGCATATATTTTAAGAAAATTATATATATACTACTTGAGCTGTGCACCGTAATCAATTTTGTACTGGTTTTTATCCTTTATTACTATTGCATATGCATCAGAAACTTTTGTACTTGAAATACAAAACCGTGAAATCCTGGCTCCGCCACTGCCCCACCTGCTTCTC